TATAATATTTATTTATTTATTTATTTATTTATTTATTTATTTATTTATTTATTTATTCCATTTATACCCCGCCTATCTGGTCATATTGACCACTCTAGGCAGCTGATGATATCAAGTGCTTGGGGCGATGGTCATCCACCGCCTATCAGAGATATGTCCGAACACTCCCTCATGTCTAGGCAGGTGCCTGGTTTTGTCTTTGCAGGTCCGCTCTTGAAGGAAACTCACTGGCAAGTAATGATAGTGGGCCACAGCTTCGTTTTCTGGGCAGCAGGGTATGCTGCTCAGTCGGAAATAGAGCCCAAATTGTTTGGAGAGGGATCCGTGGATTGCTATGGAGCCAATTGTGCAGAGTGGCTGCATTTGGCATACAACCCCCAGATGTGTTCATTATACATCTGGGAGGTAACAATCTGGCCAAGCATGGTGGCAAGGCCTTGGTTTTGGATGTTCTTCAAGACCTCAGATGGCTGAGGGTGACATACCCTAAAATGAGCATTATTTGATCTACGATCCTCCCTTGGCTTGTTAGGCATGATGAACACCAGGTCCAGCATATTAACACTGCATGGAGAAGTGTTAATGGAGAAATGTGTAGAGTGGTATGTGATGGCCTTGGATTGGTGACTGGTCTGTGCTAACAGGCCTGATCTCTTTCGAATGGACAAGTACACCTCTCCGATAGAGATATGGAAATATTTGGGGGGGGGACCTCAGGGGGGCCGCTTCTAGAGCTCGAGAGGCTCAATGGCGGGCATGGGCCTTAAGGGTTGCCTGCCCCTATGCCATGGGGGGTAGTGCAGATAAAACAGGTTTTGGTGAGTCCCCTCACAAACACAGGTAACGTATAGCTCATCTGATCTCCCAGAGCTGTGGATAGTGCGATTACAGTGCTTGGGGGAGAAGATCTGCTGGAGCCACTCCCAGACCAACAGTCAACAAGAAGAAGGGGACTTGAGGTCTGGGGGTGGTCAAATTTGGGCCGGGTTCTCACTGTCTTCACGACTGTGTGAGATCTTTGGGCTCGGGACTCACCCATAGTTTGGTTAGGGGTCTGTTGAGACCCCTCAGCAGAACCGCTTCCACACTACAGCAGGACCCTCCCCCTTTTTCCATTGAGGATAAATATGAATATTCAATAAAGTGTGGCCCATGTTTATTCCATAACAGTTGTCTTGTGTCTTATTTCCAGGGTAAGGGGATAATGGCTGATGGTTGGATTCCAAAAGATCTCCTGTATGGAGAATTAGTTCAGGGAAATCACCCCAGAGGGAGACCACAGCTGTGATACAAGGATATCTGCAAGTGGGATCTGAAGGCCTTAGGAATGGACTTCAACAGATGAGAAACCTTGATATCTGAGTGTTGGAGGCAGGCAGTGCATCATGGCCACTCACATTTTGAAGAGACACTTGTTCAGCAGGCCGAGGCAAAGAGACAGTCCTGAAACCAGCAAAATCAGGGAGCAGGAGAGGGGATAGGTTTTATTTGTCTTCAGTGTGGAAGGATTGTCTTCAGTGTGGAAGGATTGTCACTCGCCTTCTCAGCCACACTAGATGTTGTTCCAAAACCTCGATTCAGAGCACATTACTATAGTCTCTTGAGACTGAAGAATGCCTACTATTCAACTCAGTTTACTGGCTGGAGAAATTTTCAGTTTCTTAGGTGAGTTTCACCTACATTTTTGTTGTTACTGTTGCCACCACAAAAGCAAATACATAAACAACCTGGCTATCGTTTTCCAACCTTCACAATGCCCCACATATAAAGATACACCACACCATTAGGGTTAAATCACATATTAAGAGAAATGTGTATTTCCTGCTATTACAATGTTTTCCCTCCAAGTGTACAGTTCTGCAGGTGAAGCTCATGCTTACCTCTGAATGACCAATCACAAAGCAACGAGCAAGCTAATTTATAATATGAAAGGAAGCAATGATGGGATAAAAAGAGGTCCTTTACCACTAAAAAGAGCTCTGTTTTAATGATAGGCTAATTCAGTGGTTCCCAATCTTGGCTTCTCAGACATCCCTAACCTGCAACTTCCACTAGCTGTGCTGGCAAGGACTTCAGAAGTTGTAGTTCAAGAATATCTGGGGATCCAAGGTGGGAACTGCTGGTAATTGTATCATCTAATTTGAACTTGATTTTAAAAAGAGAAAGAAGCCCAGCATGTTTTCTTCTTAAAGACAAGCCAGAGAGGGGCTGGGAGGGCTCACACACCTGATGCCATTATGATTTGGCAAGTTAACCACTTAGCATTGTATTTGTCCTCTGAATTTGGATTCCATCTCTTGCTTTTTCGAACATAGGAAAACATCATGAAAAAATAATAAATGGGCATACAATAATGAGGAGCCCTCTCACATACCCTCTCACATAGAGAAAATAAGACTCGTTGACCTAAATCTGGCTAGTTACACCTCTGAGCGCAACAGAAAGAGTGTAGAATTGCCATAAGAAGGAAGCGTAGGTTACTATCCATTGCATACACAATTCTATAACAGAGTGTAGAATTGCCATAAGAATGAAGCATAGGTTACTATCCATTGCATACACAATTCTACAACATACATAAAAGAGAATATCTATACCGACTTCTTAATTGGTGATAATTCACCACCAAAAGCTACATAGCATGCATTACACCAGCATAAAATGACATTCGGATTTTTGGTATTATCTTAACTATTATGTCCTTAGAACAGAAAATGTATTTTTAAGCTTCATGAGAATGCGAGCCCACAATGCGCTCAATCTCCTTGAGAATCTTTTGCTGAATATTTGCTACATTTGTCTTTGCTGCAGTCAGCAATTTATCAATCTCCTCCTCTGAGTAGTTCATCTTGAAGGTAGAAAACTGCTCTCTGTATTCAGCAATTTTGCCTGGAAAGAAGAAATTGTGAATGAATGAACTACATAGGCATTTCATTTGAGTGATGCACAGAGTAGTACACGTTCTATGAACTCCAGACAGAGATGACATAAATGTGCAGACTCAGGGACCTGCATGGCTCACCGAACGAGAAGTTCCAAGGCCACTCCTAGTTTCACGGAACCTTCTACAATGTATGTTTCCCCTTCCCTTCCAAAAGCTGTGCTTGCTTTAAAGTAGTGGTTCTCAACCTTGGGACCCCAGATGTTCTTGGCCCATAACTCCCATAAGCCTTCACCACTAGATGTGCTAGCCAAGATTTCTGGGCATTACAGTCCAAAAACATCTGGGGATCCAAGACTGGGAACCACTGCTTTAAAAGCAGAAAATCAAACAGAAAGCTGGTTTGCAGTAGAGACAAAGCTCATGAGGAACCAGGCCTGAATTTGGAGGCACCAGAAAACAGAATATTTACTTTTCTACTGTACTTCTCCCTTGATTTGTATGCGTATGAGCAGCACAGTTTTTGTTAATACACTGACTTTCTTTTCAATAAATATTCAATAAATACTGTGCTGCTGTTCATCTCCAAGAAGTGGCCTGAAAAAAGTGGGTCTCAGACTTATCCAGGCTTTTGGGTGCATAAGAAGCAGCCCCCAGTCTGATGGTGGAGGAACATGTGGTCCCCTCTCATGGCATGGTGGCTCCATGTGGCAACCTGGGAGGAGGCTGATGGGAGTTGAGGGAGGTCTGTATGACTGTGTGTGTTTGTGTTTATCAGCTGTTTGTGCTTTGTAGTTACATTTTTGGGTGCATAAGAGTTATACATGGATTTTGAACTACATGGGTGGTCTGGCACCCCTAACTCCGGCATTGTTGAAGGAAGAAGTGCACTACAACACCTCTAAGGTAGTCTTGGCATAAGGTATTCCAGGAAACATAATATAAGGCATTCTGGAAGACATCATCATCATCATAAAAAAATGAAATTTCCCCTTTCTGATACTGGTATATAGATTTCTGAACTATTTATTTATTTTCTTAATTTATACCCCGCCCATCTAGACTGAAGTCTACTCTGGGCGACTAACTATAAACAATGGAATAAAAACAATATAATAACATAAAAAAACAACAATAGTAATATAGTTCAAGATGGGGAAAAGAAAAAGGGAAAAAGAAAAACAATTCAAGTGATGGCAGGAGGGAAAGCCTGCCTAAAGAGCCAGGTCTCAAGTCTGCTCTTAAAAACACTCAGCGAGGGAGCCAGACAGATCTCTGGGGGCAGACTGTTCCAAAGGTGAGGGGCCACTGCCGAGAAGGCCCAGTTTCTTGTTATTTCTCTCCGGGCCTCCCTCAGCGTTAGGCCCCTCAGCCACCCTTCCTGGTTAGAATGATTGTTTCTGGTAGATCTAGGTGGGAGGAGGTGTTCCACTAGATATCAAGGTCCTAAACCATTTAGGGCTTTATATGTCATCATTAACACTTTGAAATCAATGTGGAAATGATGGGCAGCCAATGCAAGGCAGATAGAGTGAGGGAGATATGCTGATATTTTCTCATCCCACTGAGAAGTCTGGCCACCACATTCTGCACCATTTGAAGCTTCTGCATCAATCTCAAAAGTAGCCCCATGTAGAGTGCATTACAGTAGTCTAATCTTGAGATTACAAGTGCATGGACCAGAGTGGTAAGCACCCCAACATCAAGATAGGGATTCAGCTGGGCAATCTGCCACAGATGGAAATAGGCGGAGCAGACACGACCTGGGTTTCCATGGTGAGTGTTGGATCTAGATGGACCCCCCAAGCTGTGAACCTCACTCGTTGGATCTAGATGAACCCCCAAGCTGTGAACCTCACTCTTCGCTGTGAGAGTCAACCCCCCCCCAAAAAAGAGGGAGTTTCCCAAACCACCAATGGAGGGACCACCCACCCTCAGGACCTCCATTTTGTCCGGGTTCAGAACTAGAGGTGTTTGTATTATGAATTGCTCCAATTCCCTCCGTCACTAGTAAGAACAAGGGTCTTATTGAAACCCAATAGCAATAGTTTCTTTCTAATGGGTCAAAAGTTGTATAAGCCTCATCTGAAAACAGGAAGATAAAGAAGGAGACAGTCCACCATTATGGAAATATGGGGTAGGGTGAGGGAGATGCAGATGAACAAAGAAAGCTAGACATTTCCTGAATGAATCCCATTTCTGAGTTACCTGGACAGTTGACATTATTAAATAGTGGACAATGTATGACCGTTGGGGCATTTTCTCCTCTGAAGATGTAGCAATCTGATGGGTTATCAGTGTCCTGCAGGTCTCTCTCATCTATCCTGGGAAATGGTATTCCATACGCTTTGCAGTATTCAACAGTATTTTTAATGGTCTGAACCAAAGACAAAAATCTGTCATTCAGTTGCCAAACTCACATAGAAAAGCAGCTGGTTGTTGTCTGGTTAGATGGTTAGTGATGAAGAAAATTAATGATGGCTACCTCCTCTGCAGTATTTAGGGAGAGTTCTAACGTTAGTGGGGCCTGAGCAGGATGGGAAGTGATGATCAGAGACTAATGTGAAGAGAAATAATGCTTCAGCAGCTACAGTATAGCTACAGGAATGTCAGAATGAGCTGTTGAGAGAACAGTCAGGGCCTGTCTACATTTCTTTTTTAAAAACCACAATATGTAACATTTTAAATTTAGCCGACTCAAGTCAGGTGGTTTTTGAGTCATTCCCTGCATTCCTACTGAGTAACTGAAATGTGTATCTTCTGTTAATGTACCAATTTGGGAAGCTACATGTTTTCAGCTTGTGTTCTTAAATCTGGTACACATGAAAAGGCTCCCTTTTAATACCAGCTGTAAGGTTCACAATGGGCTCGATTAAGAAAATAGTGTGTTAAAAAAAAACCTGATCTCTGGTGGTCATTTATTTTTACTCACTTCCTAAGAAAATAAAACATGTCAGGGGAAAATAAATATGCACTTTGGAACTCATTGTGTGCATGTGAAACTCAGCACTATTTTTAAAATAGGTTAAATCCCAAGTTCTTTGGCTGTTTGCCAAGGCCTTCAATTCCTCTAATCCTTTCTGTATGCAATATTTTTCAAACATAACACAAGAAGGCTAATGAGATATGTGAGATAAGATTGGTGGTTGTTTTAACAAATCCTGGCAGGGTTATCATTTGATGAGCATTCTCAATCTGACCTGTGAGGCAAAAAGCAAACCAATTACCAGAAAAGGATCCCCAGCACTGTAGTCGAAAGAGATGATCAGCTTCACCTGCCTTTCAGGGAAAAGAACTGACGGGTAACCAGCATTGATAGTCAAACCAGCATCAATCAGTGAAACAATCGGTTTACTTGTCAGCTCCGGGAATTCAACACCAGCTAAGAACATGACAGGAAACAGAGTTACTATAGAAAGGCCAGAATCAATATAGACATAACAGTTAACTCTACCTCTGTACTCATCTGCTACTGATGATAGCAAGACTTCCATCCCAAGTATAAGGTAGGCATAACAAATAATGAAATTCAAATTATCTTGGCACAAAGACTATGTACAATTGGCCTTGCCCCACAGAAATGGGCTGTTGAGATAGGAGTTAGTTCCTAGCCCAACACAACTTTTAATGTACGAACGTGAATGTAGTCCACGAAACTAGATCAGGCAGTTAACCAGAGTTACAACAATGAATTTTTTGGTTTGGACTGAGGTTCAAAAAAAAGAAAGAATGAAGAGGTTAATTTAGGTTTTCTTCTGAATTTCTGAACACTTTATTCTCAAAGGTACAACTCTGTTTCACTGAAACTTACGGCAGCGGTACAGGAAATTATGGGTGGTGCCCCATGTCCAGTTCAAAAGGCATGAAAAAGTCTTTCTCAACAGAGTACGGAAAACTTGTTGGGTGTGATCTGGAAAATCTGCAAGAAATGACATAGTAGAGCTAAGAATGGAAAAGAAGAATTCAATAGTAATAATAATTTTGGAACTGCAGAGCTGGGAGGGACCCTATGGATCGAGTCAAGCCCTTGCCACAGAGGCACACTGGGGAATCAAACTCACAAAAGATAGCCTGAGGGTCACCTCCCCCAAATTGTTTCTCCCTGAAAATGCTCTGGATCATGGCATTCCCAATGTAACCAACATGAAACAATAGGAATACATCTGCTAATTGAGGCAAAAGGCCTTTGTAGTCAAGCATAGCATTCTGTTTTCACAAAGGTCAGCTACCACTAATCAGAACCATGGGCTTCCCTATTTCAGTTTTTACTCTTCTTCAGATCCTACTGATTCCATAAAAGAGGTGTCTAGAAAACACCTCTATATAATTGGAAGGAAACTATCCTTTTAAAAGCCTATCCCTTTATACGGATACCTGCTACATAGGCTTTCTATGCAATAGATTACTCCTAGCCATACATTCCCTCCACTAAAAAAAACTTACCTAGTTGTTACCACTCATTAGTGGATAAAGTAGATTTTTAGGGTTCAAGGACTTGCATAATCCTTTTTCAAGGATTATGAAATTGATCCCCCTGATGTTTAAAGTTAGAAGAAATGGAAGGAAAATGCTAAGATCTGAGCAAAAACAGAGAAGGAGAATCCCATCCCAATTATATTACACTCCCAGTCCTTTATTTTTCAAGAGGACTGGGGGTTTTGTTGGAAGATTTGCATTTTAATGGCAAAATATGGCCACTGTAATACTTACCTCCAAAATATGTGTCTATCGCTTGGCACAGTCTCATATAGTTTTCCTTTCTTGTTTCTGCATCTGCAGAAGACCAGGTTTGACGGATCTGCCTGACCAGTTCAGAGTTTTGGCTAGAATCTTTGTTTTAAGAAGTAGGGGAAGCATGGTAGATAAAGATAGAATGTGGGGAAAAGATTTGTAAATACCAAAAGCAAAGAAGTAAGGCATATTAAAGAGAATAGAATGGCTGATTCCTGTGCCGTGACCTTTAGGAATTATGTCTCATTAAGTTCAATGAGGCTTACTCATGAGTAAGTGGGTACAGGACTGCAGCCCAATTTAGCTTCTTCAGTCAACCTCGAGTTGGCTACCTGAGCCCATTGGGATTAAACTCAGGTTGTGAGCAGAGTCTTCACTCTGAACTGCAGTTTAACCACTGTGCCAGAAGGCTTGTGGACTTCCAGGTTCATTAAAAAAAAAACTTTAATGAAACTTTAATGCCTTATGTGGCTCAGGAACCCATGACTCCCATCATAAACCTGTCATAAATAAAGGTGAACACTTCATACCTCTGAGTACCTCCTCCAGATCAACAGATGAAATTTGATTGGGAAGAACAAAAAACAGAATTTTTGGTTTTACCCTACCTCTATCTTTTGAAACCTTATCCCAATGAGCCTTTCCTAGCCCCTCCCTAGCAGCTTCACAATTGGTGTGTGTGTGTGTGTGTGTGGTTATTATCTTCACAGCAGCAGCTTCACAATTGGTGTGTGTGTATGTGCGTTCCATTGCATATGGCGTTCCTGTACCATATCAAGTATCATCTTTCCAGGCTATAATTGATACAAATATGTTTAGCCATTCTTTTATGATCTATGGTGTTTGAATTGGTATTTTCCCCAGTTTATATTTTAAATTATGCCTTGAGTCCTTTCTCTAAGGCAAAGTTTTCTAAATACTCTGATACACCTGAAATGAAAAACAGCTTTCCTCCTAAGAATAGATAATTGTTTTGACTTATACTGGACAAAATTATCTGGCACAGCTACAGATAGGGCATAACCTTTGGGGGCAAATTGCCCAAAGTTAAGAAATCAGTGCAAACTTTGTCAGTTGCATGCTGAGCCATACAACACAGTATGTGATTGATAATGCCTGCAGTGATTTCCTGGGGCAATTTACCTACCAAAGTTTCATCGTTTGTGCTCCACCAGTATAAGTAAGAAAATCTGGGTCATTATAAGCTAGTGTTAATTAGAGCTTGGCAACATTACTTTTTTTTTTATCCAGAATTGCCAGTAAGCATGTTCTTAGGTATCTATGGTCATGCTGACTGTGTACTGTATTCTAGGAATTGTACTGTCCAAAATTTCCAAGGTCTAGCTTTAATTTATCACAAATTAAATTACTGTAATATCAGTAGGTCATCTCAGCAGGCATATAAAAATGAAACCTCACTTCCTTATAAAGACCTGCCCATTCTCTAAAGCAGAGCTTCCCAATATTGGATCCCCAGATGTTCTTGGATTGCAGCTCCTAGAAATCCTGGCCATCACAGCTAGTAATGAAGGCTTCTGGGAGTTTTAGCCCAAAAACATCTGGAGACCCAAGTTTGGGAGCCAATGCTCTAAAGTATCCATCAAAGGTCCTGTTCTCCATCTTCCCATGCACAGAATTCAGGTGGTTGGTCACCAGGAGCAGAGATTGTTCATGACAGAAGTACCCCAACTGTACAATGCCATATCTCATTCTGCACCCACTTTATTATCTTTCAAATGCCAGTTTTTTACTAGTAACCTACTCTGTGGACAATATTTTGATGCTGTTTTAGCTCTTTTAGAGCTTACATTGTTGCTGACTGATTGCTGGTCTCCTTTTGGCATGTGGTTTGCGATGCAAGTTTTGATGACTCCCATTCTCCTTGTTGACATGTTGGAGGGGGGTGAGGAAAAATAGCATTTAGCATGATACTACAAAGAGAAAAAAGGAAAATTTTGCGAATGAAATACATATACCTTCTAAAATGCTCTCCAAATGGTCAAATTGTTCATCTGCCCCTTTTCCATCCAATGACTCAGAGAGCTTCAGATCCAGAACAGATTGATAGCCCCCAAGGAGAGATTTGAATTTCTGGTCTTCTTGTTCTTGGCAATGAAATCAAGCAGAGAACAGAGTAATAAATACTGCCTAATGTCATATTTAGACATGAAAATATGAATACGAATCACAGCACCACATTCCCTCTCCCCAGCCAACCACTCCAGCAATGAGCCAGGATGGGGAGTCTCCCCACTCAGCTGATGAGTGGTTGGCTGTCTGGAGAGGTGGGGAAGCACTGACTGGGCTCCCTCCCAGATTGACATGACAACGACAATGAAAAACCCAAGCACTGCACAGTGACTAGTGAGTGAACCAGTTGGGTGGAGAGAATGGGCTTGCTCAGGGATACAAATACAAATAGCCCATGTTTAGTTAGATTCTAATCACCTTTAAAATGCCTATAGTAAATGTACTATTTAAATAATCATGAATAGGTCTTCTCCATATCCCTGAGATGAAGAATGATTTCTTTTTCACTCTCCCTCTTCGGTAGCCTTCTCAAATCCCTGTATATTAAAAAGCCATTATTGTTGTTGTTGTTGTTGTGGTTGTTGTTGTGGTTGTGGTTGTGGTTGTGGTTGTGGTTGTGGTTGGTTGGTTGGTTGGTTGGTTGTTGATTGTTGATTGTACACAACAGCATGCACATAGACACACACATGAAATCCTAGTGGAATGAACCATTCAAAATAGTCCAGTGCGGACCGAGCATGCTCAATAGACACAGAGGATGGAGTTGTTGGGATAGTGGTCAGATTATACTCTGCAATGCAGTCTTGTGCTGCAATACATTAGCAATAACTCTTCCTTCCTTCCTTCCTTCCTTAAAGTTATGCACTTCAGTTCTAACAAGCCAATGAAAGACCTTTGAAATAAATACAGTGGTGCCTCGCATTACGATCACTTTGTTTAATGACGAAATCGCATTACATTGAACTTTTTGCGATCACTTTTGCGATCACAAAACGATGTTTCCTGTGGGGGAATTTCACTTTGTGATGATCGGTTCCCTGCTTCGGGAACCAATTTTTATAAAATTTTATGTAAAGTTATGCACTTCAGTTCTAACAAGCCAATGAAAGACCTTTGAAATAAATACAGTGGTGCCTCGCATTACGATCACTTTGTTTAATGACGAAATCGCATTACATTGAACTTTTTGCGATCACTTTTGCGATCACAAAACGATGTTTCCTGTGGGGGAATTTCACTTTGTGATGATCGGTTCCCTGCTTCGGGAACCAATTCTTTGCAAAACAATGATTTTCCAACAGCTGGTCAGTGGTTTCAAAATGGCCACCGGGTAAATAAAATGGCTCCCTACTGTGTTTAGGGATGGATTCCTCGCAAGACAGGCAGCAAAAATGGCCGCCCTATGGAAGATCTTCACTGGACAGAGAGTTTTAAGCCCATTGGAATGCATTAAACAGGTTTTAATGCATTTCTATGCGCTTTTAAATTTCGCTTTACGATGTTTTTGTTCTACAGTGATTTTGCTGGAACAAATTAACATCATAATGCGAGGCACGACAGTAATTTCTACACAGATTTTTCTCTCCTCCTTCTGAAATCACCAATAAAAGATGTGAAGCACTATCCCTTATACTGCCAATTCCAAATGATAAGGCTTTCAAAATTGAACTAAGGAGACTGAAGGAGAGGGTGGCTGGAGAAGGAAAGACATTGATACCTTTGTGCTATAAAGTGCTTCTAACCAGTGGTGGGTATGTTTTGAGGCCTTGGGGCTCAATTTGAAGCCTCCAGCACCCATGCAAGCCACATTGTTGTTATTATGTGTCATCAAGTCACCTCCGACTTATGGCAACCCTATAAATAAGTGCTCTCCAGAATGTCCTTTCCTCAGCAGCCCTACTCAGCTCAAGCCAGTAGCTTGCTTTAGGGAGTCAATCCATCTTGTATTTGTTTTTGCTTTTCCTCTTTTCCTGCTGTCTTCCACCTTCCCCAGCTTTATTGCCTTTTCCAGAGAATCCTGCCAAGGCCCTGGAAATGGCTGAAAATGACAATTTTTTTCAAAAAGAAAAAAGTGAAAAAGGAAGTGTCTGGATGAGCATTCCTGTTTGGTTTTTCAGAGGTTTTGGGCAGGGGAGAAACTTGAGGAGCCCCTTCCTGAGGCCCAGGAAGAGAACAACACTGTCCCAAGAGGCTTTAAAAAATAGATAACAACAACAACAATCACAGGGATGTCTTTTGGGGTGTCCCTGCAAAAATGTCCATGGGCCACACTTTCCTCATCCCTGCAACATAAGTGAGTTCTTTTTCTTCCCTCGTGACAAGGCCAAATAGAAGACCATTAATACTTTTCCTAGCAATGCTTGGTAAACTGTTAGCTATTTTGGATGATGTCATTTTGTGGTTCAAAACCACTAGAATCATGTTGTAGGGAGAGACTGGGAAACTTAAGGAGGGTTGAAATTTGCCCTCCCCAATATACAGTGACTCTTCAAGGCTCCCCTTTTATGGAAGGGTAGGATCTTATTAAAAAAAATAAATACTATATGTGTAAATAAAGTAAAATATTGATTGGATGTGGGGTATTTCTGGTGTGCACTGAAGTCGAAGGAGCTGACTGGCCTAGAGAAGTCTCCCATAACACCTTTAGTAGGTCATCATATAAATGTGAGAATAAACTTGTAAGAAAGAAAGAAATGTTGAAGAAAAATTGCTGTAACACCTTACCTAAGTCTGTTAAAGAAGAATCTTCTGATCTGTCACGTTTTAAAAAGTTCTGCAAAGCACCTTCAAAGATAAGTGCATATATTTATGCATAAGAGTCTACTTTTCCAACATAACATAGCAACAATGCTCCCAGCAACACCCAGATTACCAAAACAAAGAGCTAGTGCACATTGTTAAGAATGCTAACTTCTTTCTTCTTTTGCAAAAATGCAGCATCTCATTACCTATCTCTTATAACCTTTGCTCAGAATTGCCTATATGGGTCCCCCAAACACCTCGTTACGCAGTGGTTCTCAACCTTGGGTCTCCAGATGTTCTTCAAGTACCTCTGGAGACTGGCCAGAAATCCTGGCCAGTACAGCTAATGGTAAGGTTTCTGGGAATTTTAGTCCAAGAACATCTGGGGACTCAAGGTTGGGATTCACTTTTTAAAAAACATACCTGGTTTAATTTACAGGTTTTTTGCCATTCTCGTTTTCCTCCATCACCACCTTCAATGCCTGGTGGGGATGAAACTGACCCACGGGAATTGCCTAAATTCAGTGTCTCATCTGGAAAGCAGGAACAGTTGATTCTATATACATGTGAGAACCACCTGTTCTGCCTTGCCTATACAGTGCTATCTTATGGATTCTGATCCTGACTTCTCCCACAGAAAGAATTGTACCTGTTACATTATTTAAAAGTTCTTCCTCACTTCCAACGGCACTTCCCCATAAACCTGAAAATAAGGAAGAAAGAATATTAATAGGCTTGAGCTTTTCCTTATGGCAGGAAAAGGCAGGAATTAATATTTCATATTAATACAGCATCCTCTCCAATGTTCAAAATGTAAACCACACCCACCATATCTCCAAACAAGGGTTCAAATTCGCCCCTTTCTGTTTTAGTTGCCCTGGAACACACAGCTCTAGCTGTTTTACATTGCTTGTGAAGTAAGATTGATTCATACCTAATTTGTTTGCTTTTCACTTTTCAAAAATTAAATACTTCTTGGAGGTTAGTACATTTCCACTCTACATTCCTGTCAGTATGCAAACAAAGTCAGTTATGAACAACACAAGGTATTTTACTTTGCTTCAAGTTTGGCATTCTGAGAATAACAGTGCTAACATGAAAATTCATACAGCATACCTTGCAGATAGCAGATATTTTTCTCCTTCCTCTTTTCAACCAGTTGTCCATTTTCAAATACACTCCCAAAATGTCTGGTGTCTATGTATGCTCCTAGGCCAGGAATCCCAATTTCATGTGGGGTAAATTCAAACCAGGTACCTTGAAAAACAAACATAAAGAGGAAAAATAAGGCTTTGAAGACGAAGAACAAAGGAGTTAATTTTTAAAAAATCAGAAGGCCCAGAAAAACTGTTACCAAATTCTCTTTTGTTCCAAATTATTTTTCTGATTCCATTATCGAAATGGTTTAGGATGGGTGGAGACATCTCATATTTGTTTGCTCAGTCATAAGACAGCATTTGGGTGCTGTCCCTTTAACATTACAGGCTGAAATTCTGTTATACACTTACACAAATGGCATAACTTTTGAAAGCAAAGTTAACGAAATCTCCATATGTATTACAGTGGTGCCTCCCTTTACGATCGCTCCATTTAACAACAAAACTGCATTATGATGAACTTTTTGTAATCGCTTTTGTGATCACTTTACGATGTTTCTTATGGGGGAATTTTGCTTTGTGATGATCGGTTCCCTGCTTCGGGAACGGATTCTTCGCAAAACGATGATTTTAGAACAGCTGATCGGCGGTTTCAAAATGGCCCCCCGCTGTTTTCAGGGACAAATTCCTCACTGCACAGGCAGCGAAAATGGCCGCCCTATGGAGGATCTTCGCTGGACTGTGAGTATCCAGCCCATCGGAATGCATTAAACGGGTTTTAATGTGCTTCTATGGGCTTTTTAATTTCGCTTTACGACATTTTCATTCTACAGCAATTTCGCTGGAATAAATTAACGTTGTAATGCAAGGCACCACTGTATATGCTGCACCCACATTGTGTGACTCAGTGTGCAACAGAGAATGTCTAAGGAGATTCCTGCTTATTTACTTCAACTGTATTCTACACATGACTAAGTATGCACACACAGACAAATGTTGTTACCTTCATGATGTTTCAGGTATGATTCTTTGTCCACAGCTGCATAGATGGGATAAGGATTTCTTCCATTCTCACAAGATTCCCCATGGGCGGACAATTCAGTCTGATCCAACTGAAATAAAGGGATTTTTAATTAAATACATTATTCAGTCTTTTTCCAGCTCAACCACATCTTATATTAAGGAGCACTCTCATAGTGGGCTCTCTCTATAGCTCAAAAGTGGAGAAACTGAGGCCTTCAAGCTTTCAGCCGTTTTGGATTATAAATCTCATAATTCCTTAGCTGAGCTGGCTGGATAGCTCAGTAGTTTAGGTATCTGGCTATGGAGCCAGAGGTTATGAGAGTGATTCTCCACTGAGCCAGCCTATATGGCCTTGGGCAAGCTGCACCATCCTACGGTGCCCCCAGAAGAAGGGAATGGAAAAGCATTATGAATAGTCTCTACCTGGAGAACCCTGAAAAGCTTGGCATAAATTAGAATTGATTTGACAACATATGATTATTATTAATATAAGTAGTTCCCAACCTTGGGTAACCCAGGTATTCTTGGACTACCATTACTAGAAGCCTTCACCACCAGCTATGATGGCTGGGGTTTTGGGGAACTGCAGTCTAAGAACACCAGGCTTACCCTAAATTGGGAACCACTGATTTTTATTATTAATTATTTAGCACAGGCCAAGTTTCTAGGAAGTAGCCCTAAACGGTTTAGGACCTCGATACATGGCGGAACACCTTCTCTCACCAAGATCTACCTGAGTCACCCGTTCTAGCCTGGAAAGACAGCTGAGGGGCCTAACGCCAAAAGAGGCCTGGAAAGAAAGAACAAGAAACTAGGCCTTCTCGGCAGTGGCCCCTCGTCTGAGGCCCTGAAAGAAAGAACAAGAAACTGGGCCTTCTCAGCAGTGGCCCCTCATCTGTGGAACACCTTGCCATCGGAAATCACCCTGGCACTCTCGCTGGGTGTTTTTAAGAGTCATTTAAAGACTTGGCTCTTTAGGCAGGCCTTCCCTCCAGTCAACACTTGATTTTTTTTCTTCCTTAGTTTTCCTTTTTCTCCATCTTGAACTTCTAAATTTATTGCTTTAATTATGTGATTGGTTTATGATGATTATTTTTATGATGTTTTATAACTGTTTGTAAGCCACCCCAAGTAGACTCTATCTAGAGGGTCGGGGTAGAAATCAAATAATAAATAAAATAAAATAAACTCTAAAATGTCTGGAGAGCTAAAAGTTCCTCCCTGATGCTATAGGTAGATCATGAAGATTACCTTTTGACCAGCAAATCACTTCTCCCTACATCTAAGCAATGCTATCACACTTATTGAAAGTACAGAAGTAAAACTCAGAAAGTACAGAAGAATATTTCAAGAGCTGTAGAATGGAGAATAGTAGATATTGAATAAGCAGAGGGATATTATGGTCTGGTTTGTTTTTAGCAATTGTGGAAAGCTCGGGTTAGTTTTCGACCCACCTGGTTTAGCAATTTATGCACCAGAAAATAAGACCAGAAGTCAGTCAATGAGTAACAGTTGTCTTCTGTAGCTTCTAAAACAGCTTCCGTTGCCTTCTTAACTTCCCACTGGCCATGAACGATGTTTGCACAATGCTGTTTTTCTAAGATTTCAATTTTTTCTGCCCAATCGTTATCTTTGTAAAGGGCTGACAGACACCTTTTAAAGAGAAGGGCAGATACATTTCAAACAAGGGCACAATGGATTTCATCTGCAATCTTACTTTCTACTGATTTTGACCTTACTTGTAGAACTAGATTTTTTTTTAAAAAAAAAATAGCCAAATCTGGAAAAAAAAATCTCAATCTCATTTCCATTTCGATTTCAGCATAGTGTTTCCACGAAGGCAACAGACATCACAAATTAACATTAACGAGGAGTATGAAACGATGCCCCTTGTATAAGTATACTCATCTGAGGACAAAACACAAGCATAATTAATAGTCAAGAAATAACAGGGTTGCAATGAAGCCTCTGCATGCAGAAACAGCTCACCTCTACACCAGATATTTGAGCAAAACACGTAAGACAATCCTCTCTTTTAATTTTGCTATAATATTTCAAAAGCTCCTGCTTTTGAATCAAACTTAGCCCTGTTGAGGCATTCAACTGTCATTTAAGTAAGTGACACCTTCTTTTATCTCTGCCATCATGTACTTACCAGGTAGATCCTGACACTGCACCCAAGTACATCACAGAGTCCAAAAGGTTGTATTTTTTCAACTCCACTAGTGTACCATATAGGGCAATCATGGCCCTCGAACCCCCGCCTGATGCAAGGACAGCAATATTGGGGACTTTGTCCTGGTGGAAATAAAGGAGACTTTTTCATTGGGTAACCCCCAACCCCCCAAAAAAGATCCAGACTTTATCTGATATCTGTGTCTACATGACCTTAGCATTTGACAGTTTGTCACTCAGTTGCATTTGATGGCTCACATGCCTTGGCATTTAGTAGAGATGAACAGAAGCCACAAATGTGTTCCATGGCAAGATAAAGGTGACACAGAGATGGGTCAATCTACCCTGTGCCCTTTTGGAAAATGTCTGGCGAGATCCTTGTCTTGGTCCATTACAGTATTTGTGCATTTCGAGTGGCTTCTGATTAAGGCAATAGCAGTTGCTACTATTTTTATTTTTACTTTCCCCTTTATTTTTTTTCCAGTTGCCAAGACTGCTGAAGAAAGCTGCCCCCAGCAGCTTCCTACAGCAGTCACCAGAGAGGGAGGGAGCAACTTTAATATGGCAATGGGCCCACTCTTCTTTGATTCCTTGATAAAAAGGCAATGCAGGAAACCACCTTTTGTCTAGACCAATAGTCCTCAACCTTGGGCTTCCAGATGTTCTTGGACTTCAACTCCCAGAAATCCTGGCCTGCAGATGTGGTGGTGAAGGCTTCTGGGAGTTGTAGTCCAAACACATCTGGAGGCCCAAGGTTGGGGACCACTGCTCTAGACTGTCTCCATCCATTCTCTCTGCCCCCATCCTTCCTAGTCTCTGGATCTGAAATTAGTCATGCTAGAGCAACAAGTCTTTGTCGGTACCTACACAGTAGATAGGAAAAGGAAGGTAGGTCCATTTCGAAGAGAGGATACTCTGTCTACCTGAGGTCTTCCTTTCTCTTCCCCATGTCTAATTTTGATGTCTGACTGCTGGATTTAACATGGATGCTCCACTAATTCCTCTGAGCTCTTTGCTGTGACCAGTAGTGGCCTCAGAAATGCACAAATGTCCTCTCCTGTTTTGATTCTCTTTTGTGCTTCGTCAGGAGGCAGTGACCAAGCCTAGTATTTAGTATTTTCATGGTTGATGTTATTAAATTTACAACTTATAAAAATCCTACATTGGAACACTGGAGAAAGGTGAAAATTAAACTAAGCAGTCACATTTCATTTATACGCCAGATAGGCGGGGTATAAATAGAATAAATAAATAAAATAAATTTATTTTAACTATTATTTAATTGTGGACTCAGAAGTAGAGGTGGACTCAGAAATCGAAATCCTACCACATCACATGGAATCCCAAGCTTGTCAAGGCCTTTCTTCACCACTTCTTTTCTAGAAGCAATAGCTGCATTTTCACCCACTGAGAGAGCTTTTGAAATCCGGACCTCAGCTTTCTGCTGCTGATACATAAATACCACAGAAATGGAAGAAAGGTGTTGTTAAATGCCAGCAAGCTAGTGATCAAAAGGTTTAGTAACATATGGTCATCTTCAGCCAAGGAGATCTGAAGATGACCAAGGAGATCTGAAGAAGCGACTGACACATGTATCTTAACATGTATCAGTCATTTCAATCTTTATGTTCATCAGTCTGCACACTGGCAACATATTCAAGTACTTTCACAATAAAAAGCTCACACAATCCCTTGTGTGCTGCAGAGAAGCACTGTTTTTTATTCAGAAGTGAGAGCGTTAGTAGAAAAGAATTAATAGTTTAATTCATGCCAGTTTTTGAAGTTTTGCATTCAGTTTTGTCCTATATATGGCTTGATGCCATAACAATAAAGTATGTATGTATGTCAGTTCAGGATCTGCCTCATTTAAACTTCACTGTTAACTAGCCATTAACTTTTCTCTACTACGTTTTCTATCTCTGCTTTTAGTATGAATTGGAACTGTGATTTTTGGAGGTAAAATGCTCAGATTCTCTCTCCTCACGCATAGCCAAAGTCCACGCTGGATCAGCAAACTGGAAGATGTTGATTCAAAATGTAACATTTGTAGTTCTTAGATGGAACTACACAAAAATGCATTGGGGACTGTCAAAGGTAGAACTTACTTGCTCTGTCTGATTGGACTCCATTTCTTCCTTCCAGTTTCTTTATGATCAATTGGTTTAGGGAAAACACACTCAGATGAAGGCAAATGGGAACAATTTAAGCGTTTATAAATCTACAGACAGCAGCAACCTTTCCCAGTAGCAAAGATGTCCTGCAAGAAATGGTATGTTCTATGAGTCTCTCATTGATATCAGGCATCATTCCTAAATGCTTCAGGAAGGAAACTCCTCTCGTGACACGTAAGCCCTAAAACATGTGTTTTGCCAGTTCCACTTGGATTCTTCCAAACAAAATACTTCATTCTGCAAAACACCGTTCAAAAGTCTTTGTTGCGGCTTTATTGTTCATGGATACAGTGGAACAGTAAAGCCTGCCGGTAAGCTTTACTGGGATATTTGCCCAGTCACATTATAAAAAATTTGTTGCCATGCCCCATCAAGTCATCTCCCACACATGGCAACTGTGATAGGATTATCCAGGTAAGTGTTCAATTTTCAAGGAGCAGTTTACCTATTCCCATCCTTCAGTGAGTTCCCAAGGCTGACAAGAAAGTTAAATCCATGTCTTCTGAGTCCTAATCCAACACTGTCCTAAACTATTGAGTGGGTTCAAAAAAAATAAGCTGGCTTTCCAAAATTCTTTCTCTTGATATCCAGTTCACTTCCTGGGAAACTCAAAGGAGGGAAATATCAGTTACTATTGAGGACAGGAGAAATCACAGAACTTTCCAAAAAAAAAAAAAGATCTTTCTATAGATTGGCATACCTTAAAGGGAAGATACACAAGATTTGTTTCCTTTCATTAGAAAGAAAAGATGATTTGCCATTGCTTAGCATAATTTGGAGGAGGAGGAGGAGGAGTGCATGGCTAGCCTTATTGGCCATATTAGTTTGGAAGAAGAGTGAAGTTGGATGACGTTGGAAGTTGGACTCAGTGGCCTTCCAGCTTCATTATTCTAGGATTCTATGGATTGCTGCTCAAACTGCCAGGTACAGAAGGTCCACCCAGTGTCTGATCTTAGTCAGAGAAGCTTCACCCACTATTTAATAATACCAGTGGCCTTGGTCATACTGTCTCTAATCATCTGATTGACAGAGACTGTGGGCAGGAATACAGCCCTCCATCCACATATGGTTCCTTGCCATTCCTTACCAATCTTCCATTCATGCTTGGAAGATCTTCAGTTCCCCATGCCTCAAATGTTGATCCTGCGCCACAGGTGGTTTCCATCCCCGCTCTTCAAAAAATGTTTGTGCTACGAACTCTGGCCCAGCATTGGAATACGCAATAAAAGCAAACTGGTCTCTTCGATCCCAACTGGTGACAGAAAATGAGTCTAACCATACCACATTCCTGCCCATCCCCAACTCTACAAGAGTGCAGATACTACTGATTTACAACCACAAATATTGAGACATTTTGGTGGAAAGGCGGAAAGGGACCATTTGGTATGCAAGGTGATAGCAGACTTCCATCTGGGACTCCATTTCAGATAGGTTTGTGTCCGGAATGGGTTCCAATCCAGACCCATTCTGTAACTGGCTTATGACCTCTAGCAGAGCATATCACCATTTCTGGGACATGCTGTATCTCCTTCACATGCTTCCATTCTGAATAGCAAAAGACTCACTTTATCCCTGTAGCTACTCCATATAAGATACATGGGGACTTTTTCAGGCCCTGTGCTGTTTCTGGGACATATGGAAGGCCTACACAGTCCCACTGGCTGAATTGTTTTTTCCAGGCCTTGTATCACTCCTTGCCCGCCATCTGCCCCCCTCCAAAGGGCACAACATTCAAGGATATGGGAGGCCTATACAGTCCCAATGGCTGAATTGTTTTTTCCAGGCCTTGCATCACTGCTTGCCCCCCTCCAAAGGGCACAACATTCAAGCACATGCACCAGGTTCAGACTAAATTCCTTAGAGCAATTCTTGAAATTCCAAGATGTGTACCGAACGCACAAATTCATTTAGAGACAGGCTCACTAACAATGGTAGCCAAAATTACACTAGCCTCCCTTCAGTACTGGCTTAAAATAAATTACCTATCAATTACAGGGATTAACCCATCTACTTCTAGAGGACAATTTTCAATCAAAGTGTTTGAAAGGAGTCCTAAACAAATTGCAATTTATAGGCTTCTCTCCACAAGCAGTATTGAGTATGCAATGGGATGAAGCAAAATCAGCCCTTAAACAGAGAATAATGGACATGGAGAGACAAGTAGATTTTAGTAGATGCCCCAACTTTAGAGTGATAGACACGCACAAATATCGCTTGCTCCCCATGGCCTATTTATCACAGCTTTAGATAAGTTAAGGAAAACCTTTACTCTGGCTAGATGTGAGGCCTTTCCCTCAGCGATGTTGGAAGGCAGATTTAAGAAGATCCCAAAGGAACAAAGACTCTGCCCTTGTGGATCTGGTGAGATAGAATCCATTGAGCATATGATGTTCAGATGTAACAGGCATAACAAGATTCGAGGAAAATATATTACACCTCTCTTAAAAGACATGACGAGCTAATCAGACTCATACTACTGTAACCAATTGTTAATTGATCAAAATCGGACTACTACGGAAATGGTAGCGAATTTTTGGCGGCATGCCATAGTAGCCAGAATAGATAGCCAAACTTAGACATTGGTTTGCTTTTTGTTTATTTGATTTGGCTTTTTGCAGTATATGTCAGTACCTGAAGCTCTGCATTTAATTTTGTTCTATGTATGGCTTGATGCTGTAACAATAAAGTACTGTATGTATGTATACAGTATATGTAAGCACATGCATCCACCAGTTTTCTTTCCCTTCCCTCCCAACTTGCTATTATCTGTTCACTGTAAATAAATGGAACTTTTTATTCTTTCTCCTAATGTCTCAGAATTGGTTACTGAGACTGTAAGTGTCAGTTGATGAGAAAAAGAGGTGGACTTCTCTGGGGAGCCTGAAGCTAATTTTGCTCGACCTGCACTTCTGCTGAGCAGCCAGAGGAATATGGCCAAAATTCAAAATTCTGCAACACCATGTATATCTACCATTGCAGAAACACAACAGACTTATAGACATCTTGATGAAGAGCCACTGAGCCTGTTGCTGGATGGGAATAGGTGGAGATGGGTGATCAGGCTTTAGGAATGGGTGAGCCAAAAATCAAATTTTCTCCTTTTTCCAGTGCCTTTCTGTCAAACTTTTGCATCTCTGCCTAGAAACTCACTAGACTTCACCCACCACCTAGAGATCTAGCAACTCCACCTGTGATTTATTTTTTTTCAGAACTTAGCTCCCTATTGTGAAACTGGCTTAAATTGAAAAACTCTCACCAACAATATCTTCCCAAATCTGGAGTTTCACTGCACACCAATTCAGTTGCTACAGTACACCATCCAGCCTGACCATAGATTTGTAAATAATGTAAAAGATGTTACTTATTTTGTTTGGTCAAATAAATGTACTGCATGTGTCCTGAGTTGGCTTTTGGTTTTCTCCTGTTTGTGTATGAGTTTGCTTTTGAGACTTTCTCTTTGCTTGCTTGCCTCTTATCCTACTGTATATAATATACCAACCCCAGCTGAATGTATTGCGTAACTGGTTTCTGATAGTTTTGGTCTGTTGAATGTTTTTAATCTTTATCAATGTTTAATTGTTTTTCAAATATATAGTTTTATATAATATAGATAAAACTGTTATTATTGTACAGTTTTAATTGTCATCAGCCACCTTGGCTCCCCTATGAGGAGAAAGATGGCATAAAAATAAAATAAATCACAGGGCAGCCATACATACATACATACATACATACATACATACATACATACATACATACATACATACATACATACATACATACATACATTAATTAATTAATTAATGCATACATACATACATACATACATACATACATACATACATACATACATACATACATACATACATACATTAATTAATGCAGCCTCTGGCTCCCATATGCTCACCCACCAACCAAAGCTGGTTATTGATCCCAGTTCTGAGGGAGCTGTGAATCCAGTCCAGGTTGTAGCCTGTACTGGATTTCTCGAAAGTCCTGAACCTATTTTGGGGATAGGGTTTAACACTTTAGATAGTTTCTGAAAAATGCAAAGTAATATCTGGAGTAGATTCACGAACCCCATAACCGGAGTGACAAGCCATCACTGCCTCCCAGACTATTTGTTCTAGTTACATACCTGCTGAAATCGAACTCCACGCAGTTGCCCACTGAAATGGAGCTCAACCAAAATGAAGCAAAGAAATCCAACCAGGAATAAAAGTTTGTGTTTCTTCTTCACTTTTCCATGCCTGGCAGCTATCTTTCACATTACAGCCTTAAGAGTATGTTGCTGTGTCTTCTGTGCACCCTCTGTATTTTCTTCCCCTTTTCCTCTTAATGTTTGCTTTCCCACTGCTTGCAAACCCTTTTTAAAACCCTGTGTTTCTCATTCCTGCCACAACCTCTTCCTTGTCTTTAAAGCTGGCTAGTACACATTGTAATTGAAAAACAACCCCTTCTGAATTCAGTAGAATTTCCTTTCCTAGGCTTTCCGACTAACTTTAAACTTCTTACACCCTTTTTCCAAACACTCTCTACATTTTTGTTTGCTCCACTTTTCTAGAACTTCTCTTCCAGAGCCAAATTAAACATGGCATTGGAAATATGTGAATGAAGCCAACGATATTTTGCTGGCTGAGGCAGAGCAGCAAATCCACCCCCAACATCCCTGCCAAGTCAAGGCACAAAGTAGTCTAGGAGTCAAGTTATTTTGACACTGAGTAGGAAAATCTAATGAGTAATTCTGCCTCTTCCTAGAAGTAAATATGTGATCATAGGTCAGCATCCCATATGGAAGGTAAGGGAACTCAAATAAGCAATCCCCTGCTGAAGCAGCCTCCTGTTGTGCAAACTGCCACACATCTGGTTGCACACCCAGTCTCACAACCACTGGAAAACTGAGCATGCAAAGCAAAGCTTATTAGAGCAAAGGATGCTTGCATTACCACCATTCTGGAATCATGGAATATATGTCAGTACTGGCCATTATTATCTACACCATTATTATCTACACAACTATTAGCTTCCCATTCACAAGCTGCAATATCTGCTATGCAAAGCAGGCACCTCATCGTACCTAATAGTAAGCATGGCCCAGGACACAGCTCTGCCAATTTTTGAAAATCCTAGTGAAAGCAGACTATAACTTTGATCACAGTTGGAGGTCATGGTTAACCCTCCTTATCCCTCCACTATGTAGTCCTGATCTACATTTAATATGCCAGATATTATATTTCTAAGATAGAAGCTATGCAGGGGAGGTGCCAGACATCTGGGTCACAAATTCCCAAATTGTTGACCCAGGGCACCAGATTTAGAGGGTGCCACAGCTGCCTCTTTATTATTTGCAAGGTGAAACACACACACCAGCAGCGACAGAAACCAAAGCAGCATTGCTTGTAAAAGTCACTGCTCCCTTTTCCTGCTGGATGTATTCAAACACTAATTGGAGCATTTTGCAAAGATAAAAGAAACTCTCTATCTCTCTCCCACACCTCCCCATTAATTGCAATAGCAATTTATGTTCCACAGCAGCCAATCCCAGATCTATGTTTTGTTAGAGACTAATGCTTTGATCACATGGGGAAACAGACTTTATTTTGGACCACTTCTGGAGCCGTCCAGGGCAATCTGTTTCTCGATGGTCGCACAACATACAGGGAAATATGCTCCAGCCTGATGCCAATCTGTGCCCAAGCTGATACCTTTTTCAGGGACCTTTAAGGGTCCTTGCAAAGCAACCTTTTCCAGTGTAATCAGGTCCATGCATTTCCAGCCTAAGTTGCACATAATTCCCACCATCCCCAGTAGTGTCCTCTAAGACTGCAGCCTGACCACAAAACTCACCTTACTTTCCTATCTTGCAACTCCCTTCTTGTCTGAGAATCCCCTACAGACAGTGGCAATTCGTACTTGCTGGATTCCAGGATCTTTGGATTCAATGCACATGTACCACTTTTCTCCTTTGTCATTTCCCTCCATTCTGCAAGGCGAGAGTTCCCACTGAATTTTGCAGTCATCAGTGGTCTTAGAAAAGAGGCAAGGTTGCTGATTTTCAATACACAGGGAAATCCCAGTCAATCTTCTTTGCTTTGCTAGGGAGCCACACACTTCTTGCCTGCTGTGAGCAGCCCTCACATCTCCTCCATCATGACAGCAAATATTTGCAGAAATGGGCACTTTTATTACAGCAATACAACTCAGAAGAGGCCAATGTGGCTCAAAAATTAAACTTAAAAACCTTTAGGGCTCCAGGGAGTTGACTGCATTCCCATACAGTCCAAACAAACAGAAGAAATCCACAACAGTCCTTTACTGGGAGGAGTGGAACTCTGCCACCTCAACCAGCTCCAAAACCCTTCACAGATGGTGAGGGGGAAGAAAGAATGTGGAAGTATCCATAATTGGACATCAGAACTCTAGAACGCTTGTATTCACTGATTCAGGTCAAACAGGCATTATAAATATAATAGATAAAAAATTCCTGATCGCATAATCTGTAACAGAGAAAGCTATCTTTGTTGTAGCTGAGGTACAGTATTTGTTTTTATTCCTGCACAAGCTCAGTTGTTACTTTGGAACTTTTCACCTGGGGCTATAAAAGAGCAACTGTTTGATTAGTCAGTGAGACCCACTATACACACATACATGCACATACTTCGTGTTGGTGATTCTCCTGCTTTCAAAAGCAATAAAGTTTTATTGTGAATTAGGTTGTTTCCTTTTAACCTGGCCTTGTGTAACTCTAATCTGAAGTAAATCAGATGGAGCATTTTACTTCATATGTGGCTTTGTCTTCTGCAACTGGTTCTATCTCCCATTTTACAGCTGCTTTCAGTTGCTGGCTCCAGGGTGAAAGACAGAAAAGCCTTCAGAAATGGCTCCAGAGTAAAAGAGAAAAAAGCCTTCAGAGATTAAGTTTCTCAGTTGATTTGTCACAGATATAGATTGGCATGAATCAGAATCATTTTGATTTCATATTTCATCAAAAGCAAAGCAAAGCAAAGCGTGCTGCTTACATACCGCCCCATAGTGCTTCAAGCACTCTCTGGGTGGTTTACAATTTAATTATGCAGGCTACACATTGCCCCGCCCCCAGCAAGCTTTTTACTTTTTACTCATTTTACCGACCTCGGAAGGATAGAAGGCTGAGTCAACCTTGAACTGGCTACCTGGGATTTGAACCCCAGGTCATGAGCACAGTTTTAGCAGCAGTACAGCGGTTTAACCACTGTGCCACGAGGGTCCTCATCAAGGTTGATGAATCATGAATTTATTATTTTTTTCTGATAAATTGTTGGATCGATTTGTCAATCCATTTTTTTAATTTTAAAAACTTATGAAGTGCCCCTCCCAAGCATCAAAATCACAAGGAAGCCTCTAGAGGTAGGAGCAACAAACTAGAACCTCATGGAGTTGACTTCAACCAACGAGGCTCCTCATCAAGGTTGAGGTTATGATTTTTTTTTCTGATAAATTGTTGAATCAATTTGTCAATCCATTTTTTAATTTTAAAAACTTATAAAGTGCCCCTCTCAAGCATCAAAATCACAAGGAAGATTTCAGAGGTACAGTAGGAGCAGCAAACTAGAACCTCATGGAGTTGACTTCAAAGTGGGGAAATTAGAAGTCTGTGGAAACAGACACAACAGATTTGCCCATTCCTACACTGAACCCTTTTTTCAAGGCCAGTTTCAAACAATATTACTTTTTAGGAAGTAACTATTACCATCAAAGGTGCAATGTCTTAGGTACACACATGTAAAGCAAAACTTCCTCGTATCTAATGAGTGACTTCATCAGTAGTGACTTAAGCAGTTAATCAACAGTTATCGTCATTCGATGGGATTAAAGCCACTGACATAAAACACCCTCCTCCAACTGTACTTCAGAACATAACAGGAGCCAATGCTTGGGCCATGTGATTTTCCTCTGTCACCATCTAGTGAGGCCACGCCCATGTAAATATAAAAAATAATATATAAGATACAATAACTCTGCAAAAAGCAATATGTTTCTGTCATTAAGTTAATAATAGTAATACAGTTTAGTTATATCTTTATCATAGAAAAAGAAATTAATTACAAGTAACTACTTAATTGCCATTGTTTAGAACTAGTTGTTTCTTTTATGTAAAACTCTGGACTATAAGTGCCTTTTTCAACAATCAGATATGGGGGTTTTTTTAAAAAAAAACTGCAAATGGATGAAAAACACACATGTAAGAAAGGACTATTTTTTGCCTTGGGGTATAGTATTCTCAGCACATGGTAGCTTATTTAAGTAAGGAAAATCATACTGTTGGAAGTCTGCACAAGGACAATCAGAAATCAGCATGCATTTCTCTTTACACTGCTTCCATTTTTACCTAAGAGACAGAGATAGAATAATCTATTGATCTCAAACCTGTATGACCACATTTCAGTTAGAGCAGCTAAAACAAATTGCTAAACTGCTTTGATAAGTATTTTTAAGATGCTGTTTCCGGTCAAATTAGATGAGGCAATTAAAATATGTCATTAGAAGAGCTTCCATTTGTTTAATTATTGGTAAAGAGCAGCCATGAGGTCAATCTAATATGAACTTATCTATAATCATGGAGCACTTCCAAGCAGTCCAAACAAACTGAAGTCCACAACAGTCTTTTATTGAAAGGACTCCACTGCATGTCTTGCTTTATTAGCTCTTGGTCATATTTCTTCTGTCTTGTGTCTTTCATTTACCCCAGATGTGATGCCAAGAATATACACCTGGGGTCAAGAATATATACATCTCATTACATTGAGAGAGAAATATACTATCCTAGGGCCACTGAGTTCCACTTATCCACGTGCATCAGGATTTCACTGATGTTACAAAGTCCCAATGTTATGCTGAGATTGTGACATTGAACTCCTTACCCAAGATCTAGTTGCCAGTCTTAGCTAGAGTAGCCCCACTGAAGCAACTGCTGAATGTTGAGCCATTTTATGGAAATCTCATTGATTCAATGGGTCAGCTCTTGCTGGGACTACCAATGTGACTTGACATATTTTCTTACTAGATGAAACATACACAAAAGCCAACTAAACTGTATCAAAGCTAAGGAAATTGAGCCACCAGGACTGCTTTTTTGGCAGTTCTAGATAAGGCCAATTGGACTTCTCTGTTTCTCAGGCTATATATCAAAGGATTGACTGTGGGCGTTAAGACTGTATAAAAAAGAGAGAAGACCTGATGGAGCCCCTTCGGTGTGTTGGTTTTAGGACTCATATAGACAAGGATCAAAGAACTGAAGAAAAGTATCACTACAATCAGATGGGAGGAGCAAGTGGAGAAGGCCTTTTGTCTCATGGCTTTGGACTGGAGCTGGAGGATATTGATGATGATACAGGTGTAGCAGATCAGGGTAAGGAGAAAGGTTGGTATGGTGTCCATGGAGGCCAGGATGAAAGTTGCAGTCTCCACTGGGTGGGTGTTGCTGCAAGAAAGCTTCAGCACTGAGGCTAGATCACAAAAGAAGTGTTCAATTTCAGGGGGTCCACAAAATGAAAGCTGCAACTCTAGACATGTTATGACGGTGTTACTTACTAAGCCACTAATCCAAGAGCCAGCAATAAGCCAGAAGCAGAACTTGCCGTTCATGAGGAATGTATAGTGCAGAGGTTTGCATATGGCCAAATAACGATCGTATGACATGACAGCAAGGAGGTAGCATTCTGTTGATAATAAGACACCAAAGAAATAGTACTGCACAAGACAGCCATTCACTGAAATAGACCTGTCTCTGGTCCAAAGACTGAAAAGCAGACGGGGCAGAAGAGTCGATGTGTAGCACATCTCCAGGCATGAGAGATTCCCAAGAAAGAAGTACATGGGAGTGTGGAGGTGCGGATCAGCAACCACTAACAGAATGAGGATGAGATTCCCAACCATGGTAATCATGTAAATTATTAAGAAAGCCAGGAAGAGAAGTGTCTGCAGCTCTGGATGATCACCAAATCCAAGAAGAAGGAAGTTTGCGATAGTTGTTTTGTTTGTCCTGTTTTGAATTTGCTGTAGGAGACAACAGATGGTTCATGCATGTATATTTATACATCACAGACAATATACACAGAGAGACATAAATCTAATGCAGAATCAAACATGCGTAACCTCAGTGGCCCAAACTCAATTGCTAGTCCCAGATAACATAGAATTGTTGAATCAATTGCTGGATAGTAAGTCAACACTTTTGTAAATTCCTTTAGTTTAAGGGGTCTATTTTAGGGATTAGCAATTGCATTTAGGCTATCGACTTCAATTGTTTTAAACATGCAAAAAAAGTGCTGCTTAAATGCCTCCCCAAAGTGCTTTAAGCACTTTCTGGGTGGTTTACAATTTAATTATACAGGCTATAGACTGTCCCTGCCCTCAGTGAACTGGGTACTCAGTTTACTGATTTCGGAAGGATGGAAGATTATGTGAACCTCAAGCTGTCTGTCTGGGATTGAACCTGGGTGGTGAGCAGAGATTTGGCTGCAGTAGTGCAGTTTAACCACTACACTACAAGTGTCCATGCCCCCTGTGCTCTGGATTTAGGGCAGTACCCATAACTGTTTAGCCACCATTTTGTGTACCTCAGATCTAGCATTAGTCTGAAGCATGAGAGTAGAAGATGACTGTTGCCTGAAATTTTAAAAATAACATAAAATAAATATTGGTTAGTGTTCTGGGACATAAATCTCCATAAGGGCTTCCCCTCCTCAAGAGAAGTTGAGAAAAAAAGAAAAATCTCATGTTTTCCTGGAAAATATTTTCCAAACTTTTTTAGAATGTATTACCTTGTTGCTTTTAAATAGATGCACATATCTTAGAAACATTGACATGGTATTGAAACTGCAGTAATGCACACAGACTGCCTAAAATTCCCTGATTAAGTAAGCCTCATGTGCAGAATCATGCAGCCTGAGGCCTGCAGAAGAACAGTGCTAAAGAGTATGTAGTTCGACAACATTACATTCTTTTATTTGAGCTACTGCCAGTAATTAACTGAGGTCAATGTGCTTTCACAGTGATTCCAGGAACAGGAAGAGGATTATGTTTCCAATGTGTTTGATCAGACTTTGCGCAAATTGTCAGTATTCATATATGGAACAAAACACCTCTAAGAGATTGACCAATTCCTATAACTGAGTGAAGAAAGCAGGACAGGGTGACGTTTTATTGCCTCTGTTGCAATGGTTCAAGAGACGCTTCAACATACTCTTTCAGTATGTTATTTGGAACCCAGTCTCCTAAGACATAAAGATCGGAGATCATTATCACTACTCAAAACTCTGGTCGACATCTTACGATCTGTTTTAAACCCCGTTGACCTGAACAGATTGTAAGCAGTCTCTATACAAATTTGTAAGCTCCCTCTCAAGTTTCATGGTTCACACAAATGTATCATAACAAAGAATGTGTATTACTAATAAGCCTTTCATTTGGATATATTCATTATGTTATGCTATATATTTCCTATGTAGTGAACTCAGAGACAGAGTTTAGAAAAGTAACTTGGTGGGCTATAGCTGAGATAATGCCTCACCCAGCAGTGATGCTTGCTGGAGATCCTGGGAGTTTAGTTACAAAAATAATGTTTCCAAAGCTGTGCTCAGAAGTGTGTTGTGACATGACCCAATCAGTTCCATGAGTGGTCAAGCTCAATAATAAAATATAAACAGCTTTATGAGCTGTCAATTAATCAATCCTGTGTCTAAGAAATAAGCGGAGGAATAAGGCAATTTATAATGCATACAGTCTGTTTTTCTTTCCTGCTGGATTTTTTTTTTCTTTTAGTATTAAGAAGAGTTGTACATGATTGTTGTGGGTTTTTCACGCTCTTTGACCATGTTCTGAAGAACATGGCCAAAGAGCCCGAAAAAAAAAAGCACAACAACCATCAGATCCTGGCCATGAAAGCCTTCGAGAATACATTAAAACAGTTGTATAATTCAAAAGTAGATTTCGGAAACAATGAATTTGATTTAACACATTATTGCCAAGCTGCACTCAAAACATATTTGGAAACAATTTCCACAGCAAAGAGTGTGTTCATGATCACCTTGCTAGGACAACATTGTTGCCTTACAAATGTATAGAAGCAGAAGTGTTGATATGAAGATAGTTATATTACATATAATTTATTTACCTCTATGTTGCCTTCTTCTAGAAGATTAATATTGGATATACTCCCTTCATTCCCCATTTATGGATTTGAAGATCACCAGGAAAAAAGAGCCTCCTCTTCTGTGTCGGCTCTATACTCCTAGTTCTCAGTTGTCTGCCAGCTCTCTCTAAAATGTTACTATTATTTTTTCCCCTGTTGATTTTATCCCTCTGTATTTAAATGGTAAGCACTATCTTTAAGGTCAGAAGACAAAAGCAGTGTATTGACTTGAGGTTAAGCCTCTCAAAGACCTGCAAATGATTTTCCTCAAGGGAGAAGAGGAGCCAAGAGAGTTGCTATCTAAGAGGAAAATTGTCACGGAAACAAATGTAATGACTTAATGTGTTAGCTTATGGGAAAGACAGATAGGGAGCCAGTTTATCTAGCTGTTATCCCTAGTTGACAAAAGTTATAGGGAAGGGGCGTTGCATCTTGTTGGTCCTTTGGCAAATGATTTGTTTGAGGAAGATGCATCAGACTTGAACAAAGGCCAAATTGACTCAAACAAGGCCTTTCCAGTTGATTCTAGTAGTCTCTGAAGTGAAATAGGATCCCTTCCCCAAAGCTTCCAGAATGGAAGTTGTAGTTTTGTTCAGTATCCCTGCTGAAAGCTGAACAAAGCTACAACGTATTAAGGACACTGGGTTTAGAATAAGAGGGATGTGTACAGTGTGGTAGATGCTTCCAAACAACTCTCAATTTGTGTTATCCCTTTCCATTTAATTATATGAAACCCTTAAAGATTAGTACAAAGGTTCCAGGAAGAGAGGGTATGCTGAAGCTGGACCTTCTCTGTAGCTGCTCCCAGACTTTGGAACTCCTTCCCACAAGATGTCAGGCTGGCCCCATCTTTGCTGTTCTTCCAGAAGAAGGCAAAGACGTTTCTTTTCAGGCAAGCTATTTCTCATGTAACTAACTGCCTGAGTGGGGCTTTTAATGGATTGCTGTGCTTCGCTGCTTTGAATGTTACTATGCTGTATGTCCCATGATCATCAATATAGTGTCCCATCATATCTTTCTTAGTTCTACCTGGAGATGACAGACTCTAGACTTAGAAGGGATATATATATAATGCAAGGCAAGTGCTATATTATTCATCTAAAACCTTTAACCTTCCATACTGCTGGAAAGCAGGACAGATGTGCTTTCAAATGTGCAATCTTCAGCTATTTTGAAAGTATAACTACAGATATATTCTGGTCTACAGCATATGGAAGTAAGTGGAGAAAAGTTACCTTTTAAAAGTAATTAATTACTGTCATGGATATATGTTCCAAAATGTAGCAAGCTACATTGGAATTAGAATTTCTCACACTTAACTTTTGAGTTTCACATTCCTTAAAGTAATTATTTGTAACTTCTTTATAAAGAATATCTGGTGCTGTAAGCACTGATCTGTGCCGCAAAACACATTCTCTTCCTATTAAGGGTGTAGACCTTCCATTTTTTGTTTGTTTGTTTCTTTGTTTTGCCATTCAAGACAAACTATTTCCAAGCTTACTTTTTTCCACCAATGTAATTTTTAAAGGGATTTAAAAAAAAAAAAATTTTTTTTTGCATTTTAGAACATTTTTGTATAAAAATTACAAAATTTTGCACAAAACCTTGGGCAAGAAAAGCCTATTGCACAAGGACAACTCTGTTTTATGAGGGGAAACAAGGCAAAATATAAGGATTTTTGAGCTGTTCTGTTTTTGTGGAGGGGGCAAGGTTTGCAGGCAAAATACAAAGATTTTGGCATAAAATACACTTTTCATTTAAACACAATGAATTTTGCTGTTGATGAGAAAAAGACCAAAAAAGGTTTTTAAACAATGTTTGAACTATTCCATTAAACATTGTGTCAAGATATGTGTCAAGATATCTTATTTTCTTGAAGATAAAACAATGCAAGTATCATTTACATTCTTACTTCTTGTTCACTTATTTGTCAGCTCAGCACTTAAAACAGAGCACAAAGCATTAGCATGAGGCATGTCATGAGCCAGCACTTGTATCTCCTTTAAATAAAATCCACCCTGGTAGTTGGACGACTTGATTTCAGCCAATGAGAGTTAACAGTTGTGGTGTAACTGTGACTTTTTTTTGTTATTTTTATAGTTACTGAGATGGGGCAACATTAAATGGTAGAGGATAACTATCAAATGAATTTAACCCATTAATTAAATTTTAAAAATTGTGTGTTTTTTCACAATTTAAATTGAAAAATCTTTTTATTTAAATCATGATTTAAAACCAATTTGATTTTTAAAAAATTATCATAGATTTTTATCCACCCTGGCAACTATATAGGTGAGAGGCAGATGGTGTAACTTTCACTTGCTGTTAGCTGGCAATTAAAGAGTTACTACTCTAGTTCTCTGGGGCCTATTCATGCTTTGTGCATGCTTTTGAATCTCAGAGGGAACTCTAATCGCCAGCTGGAAGCAAGTGAATGTTAACATCATATGTCTTCCACCTGCATGAAAACAAACAGAAATTCAGCCATTCACTTACAAAAATTCAGGGACAAGAATTATAAGCAACTAGTTATACTGTATTGTCCAGCTTGGGTTGGTTGCATAATGTTTCTCTTATGTTTTATGGAAGGTTTATGACATGCCTTACCTTGCTAAGATTTTTTCACACAGGGACAATGTTCTCTTGCAGCTAAGGAATGCCTGTATAGAAGGGGAACTCAGAGGTCCAGCTGTCAGCAACCTCTGAGATGTTTCGGGAAGGAGATGAAAGGTTGCAGAAGAGGAAGAGAGGATGGCCAATGTGGAGTTAATTTGCCCAAAGTAATATCATAGGATAAAGAGATTGGAACAGCACCAGTGGCACTGTTTTAAGGACACTTGGAAACACCCAGATGCCTTGGGAGAGGCTTGCTGGGAGCTACAACTACTATGAGCTCATACAGTTATATTTAATGGTAGGCATCTCATTATTAAGGTGGCTCTCCAATATTGTCTGTCTGGTTCCTTAAGGCTCCACACTATTTATAAACTAGACTGTCCGACAACCTGCTTCTGCCTACTCCCTGCAATTAAAATGATGCCTTACTCTGACTGGCATTAGGCTAAACACACAGGCTATGACAACCACCTAATTTGATCTGAAATGGCTTTGAGTAAATATACCAATATATGCTGCCTGCAAACACAATAGCTCACATCTGCAGTTCCGGTAACACTTCTACGTTCAGATCAGTTACAAGAGTCCACAAGATGGAGGCAGTGCAATAATTGTTTTTCCTATCCTTCCTCTTCACAAAGTCCTCCAGTTCTGTTTTACCACTAGAGCTGCCACCACCCCACCAGAAGAATCTCTAGTTCACCTGTAATCAGGAGACCCAGTAAACAAACAAACAAACAAAAAAAACACGAACCCATTCCTCCAGTTTCTTACTCTGGTAAATCTGATCTATATGCAAGGAAAATAACATATAGAAGCAAGTTTATTTCATGTAAGAAGCTGATTCGTTTGATTTTCTTTATTTAAAATATATTTACTGTAACTCATATTTCTTATTAAAAAGGACTGAAGGGGCTTACATAATTAAAAAGACAATATTTAAAAGCTTTATAAAGTAAGTGTACACATATTAAAAAGAAGTAAAGAAGTTTTATTAAAAATGGTGAATATAAGCAATACTGAAAACACATTTAAAAACAACAAACCACAACAATTCATTTAAGAAATCCATGCCCATAACAAAACAAAGGATAATATCAACATCTTCTTCATCTTTGTCTTTCTCCGTCTGGCATTTAAGAACAAAGCAAATCCAGGAAGGTCTATTATTGCCACCTACTGACGGCCAAAAAACTTTTCACAGCCTGCAGATTTAAAGCTGTTTTAACAAGCCTGGTTGGTTATTATCTGTGAATTATCAGCAGAGGTGGGATTTGGGGGCTTTCTGGACTATAAATACCATAATTCTTTATTCGGGGAATTAAATTTATCTTGAAGGCACCTGAGAAACAACTCCAGTGTGATGCAACTGAGAGAAAGGACTAAATTAGAAGGCTTTAAAGCTTAGCTAGGCCAAACTCTCCCCATGTGCCCTGTCCCTGTTCTGGTTCTAGCTGGAAGTTTTCATTCTGGGTTGGACACTTGGGTAAAATTAGGTCTACCTAAATTTCAAAGTCTTCCAGTTTAGGCCTTTCTCCCAGGTGTATCACCTTGAGATATTCATTTAAGAAATCCATGCCCATAACAAAACAAAGGATAATATCAACATCTTCTTCATCTTTGTCTTCCTCCGTCTGGCATTTAAGGACAAAGCAAATCCAGGAAGGTCTATTATTGCCACCTACTGACGGCCAAAAAACTTTTCACAGCCTGCAGATTTAAAGCTGTCTTAACAAGCCTGGTTAGTTATTATCTGTGAGTTATCTGCAGAGGTGGAATTTGGGGATTTTCTGGATTATAAATACCATAATCCTTTATTCTGGGATTAAATTTATCTTGAAGGCATCTGAGAAACAACTCCAGTGTGATGCAACTGAGAGAAAGGACTAAATTAGAAGGCTTTAAGTCTTAGCTAGGCCAAACTCTCCCCAAGTGCCCTGTCCCTGTTCTGGTTCTAGCTGGAAGTTTTCATTCTGGGTTGGACACTTGGGTAAAATTAGGTCTACTTAAATTTCAAAATCTTCTAGTTTAGGCCTTTCTCCCAGGTGTATCACCTTGAGATATGTATTTCTCAGGTACCTACAAAGTAAGTTGAACTCCCAGAATGGAAAATTATGACCCAGAAAGTCCCAACATTCCATCCCTAATCATCACCAGCAGCATCACTGACTACTCTTCTGACAACTGGTAATGCAAAAGACAAGTCATCTCACATAACAAGAGCCGAATCTACTGCTCTGCTATTATGAGAGGTGGGTTACGCATATTTGTAGCTGCAAATGCTTGAACAGAGAGTTAAGGGGAAAATGTCAAGAAGAGTGAGACAGCTTGATCTTTAAGTGGTATGGCTCAGATTGCACTTCCCTTTGATTTGAAATTTTCTTCTACTTCATACTCCCCAGATGGTTTCAGGCTAGCATGAC